GATCAAGGGGGCGTGGATTAGCGGCTGGTCCCGCTTCTGCGGGGAACCGCGGGTTTCCGCCGCCGAGCGAGGCGGCACTGGCCGCGTTTTGAGGAGGGCTCCTCCCCCGACCCACGGATTCGGCGGCCGCGCGCCAAATCCACGGACCGCTAATCCATGTTTGCGCGCCCCCGACTCTGGGGTCGGCGTAGTCGCTGCTTGCTCGAGAAGGATGACGGCATACGGTGAAGAAGGGGGGCGGGGAGGAGGTCCCGCACTCTGCCGGAATCGGCGGAATTTGTTGCTTTTATGTGGTGCCATTTTGTTGTGAATGATGGGGCCGCTCTTGGTTCCCGGAAGGCATCGAGCTGTAACGGCCAGAGTCGGCTCGTGTTTCTGGTCGGAGTGCAGGTGTCCAGGGCCAGGATGTCTTCCTTCCTTGCCAACCTACGGGAGGAGCAACGAGGTACAGGCAACGGAGGAGGAGGAGGAGGAGGAGGAGGAGGAGGAGGAGGAGGAGGAGTACGAAGACACTGGCGCATTACACTGCGTGTCTTCTGATATGAAGCAAAAGTGAGCAGGGGCCCCAGGGGGTAGGAAGGCGGATGCGGATGAGGAGGAGGAAGAGGAGGAGCAGGCTGTTGCTCGCTTTCGTCGTGCTTGATCCCCCCCCTCCAGAAGCAACGGCCAGTGCTTACACAGTGCCCTCTTCTACAGCCAGTTCAGTTCACGCTAGGACCTGACAAGGTCCGCACACTTCGGTTCCGATCTCGATCCGGCCCAGCAAGAGCCGATTCCATCTCTGGCCCGCAGGGGCCAGGCCCGATCCGCTATCGTAAGCGATCCGATCCCGATCCGATTTCGCGTCGATTCAGGTGTGGTCTGGCCCGCTGATCCGTTTTCGCGAATTTCTCCAATTGGTCTTGCCTGTAGGAGTCCAGGCTCAATGACATAGCGACCTGGTCCACTAGTGCCCCCCCATTTGCTTTTGCAATCCTCCAACTATGCGCATGGTTTCCTCTGTGTCCGCTCGCCTTCCTCTGTTATCCGCATGGCTTCCTCTGTATCCGCATGGCTTCGTCTGCTATCCGCATGGCTTCCTCTATATCCGCATGGCTTCCTCTGCCAACGTAGGCTAGCGTGAGCCGTCCCGTCTGATCACAGCGACCTGATAAAACAGATCAGATCGCGCGAATAATATCAAATTTGAATTCTTATCGTATCATTGCAGACTAAGCGGTGTAAGATATACGAAGAGAAATGGGAAAGCGGAGACGCCCGCAAGGGCGAGAGTATTAGCATTCTGCGCTGCCCGTGGAGCAGGTGTGCTTTTGAACTGCTGCCCCCGTAGAGTTGTGCAGAGAGATGTCCCGTCACGTTCGGACCGAGGTATGACATCGAAGTCGGCTTGGGGAGGGTACCCTAAGGATCTTCATGCTTGTCGGATGTTCTCGCCCATCCTGGGGAAGGGCACCCTCGAATGTTCTGTGTTTTTTGGCCAGCTGAGGGCCTCACGTTACTGCAGGAGGTTCTTCTGTCCCAGGCCTGGCTGTGGAGGCGACCGGAAAGCACCGTCTGGAGTGTTCCACAAGGGTTTTTTGGGGGGAGGGGGTTTTCCAGAGAGCCCCCCCAGGGGCTTCGGAACCTCGTCAAAACAGGGGGTGCGAAGCCTCTATGCGACCCCTGCTGGAAAACCCTGTCGCCAAAAACCCCCTTTGGAACACTCCGGACCGTGGGCGGAGATTCGCGGCGGTGTCTCCTCTTGCGCTCTGGCTCCGCAGCGGCGTCCGCGCAGCGGCGCGGAGCAAGGGCGGAGGAAGGGCGGGGGGCCCACGGAGCCGCACAGGAAGAGGGGGGGGTAGCCGCCCGCGCGGTGGACCGGGTTGCGAGCGGGGCTGCCGCCGCGGCGACACAGTGCCTCCTCCTCCTCCTCATCCTCCTGCTCCTCCTGCTCCTCTTCCTCCTCCTCCTCCTCCTCCCTCCTCCTCCCCTCCTCCTCCTCCTCCTCCTTCCCCTCCTCCTCCTCCTCCTCTTCCTCCTCCTGTTCTTTGGGCGTCGCGTAATGGGGGGCGATGAATGGGGGGGCAGCGAGGGCTGCAGAACAGGGGCCCTTTATAGGGCCCCTGCAGGGGCCCTCTAGGGGTCAAAAGGGAGTCTCTGGGGCCCGAGAAATGCACCTTGCTTCCCCCCCCATATGGCTCCCCTCACTGATTCACGCCCGAAATCCGCTCCAGGGGGGAGGCTTGGCCACGCTCCCCCTCATCCTGAGGCTGATCCTTGCACCACTCTCCTCCTGGGTCGATGCCTCGCCAAGGGTCTCCGCTTCACAGTGTACGCCTGGCCCTGCGGTGAGCCTTGAAATAATGAGTGGTATATCAACTGCTGTGCAGTACATTTTGAACGAACCGGCGGACCGGGCTTATATTTCTTGGCCGACCAAGCCTCAGTTCGCCGTAAGCCGCCTTCTCTGTAGGCTGCTCTGTCAGGGTACCACAAGCACGAGTCGCATTTGCCAGGGTGC